GTCACAGCCAAAAAGAGATCAGGAATTGGAAATTCTTTTTCTTAATCCTAGACACACTGCCAACTCGCTATGTGTTCCAGGATATTTAGGTCCATTTGATGTAGGACTGTCTTTTCAGCACCCCTATTTAGGCAAGGAGAAGGTGGTAGCCAATGATGAAAGCTTTTTAAACTGAAGATATGCTCATAACACACGCTCCGCAGTAAAACAGGATCTCTCATCTGAACACAAGGCACCTCCAAAGCAACCGATCACTCAGCTCTTCACAACAGCAACCAAGAGTGAAATAAACTAAAACAATCAGATGGAAAACAAAACAAACAAAAAAAACCCTTAAGAATGGACAGTGACATTTCATGTTAACTGATGGGAAAGTTCAATCCTTCCCTGGCCAATCTGTAGACTCAGGCCATCTCCATTTGTATTCTACCATGCTTCAAAGAAAACAAAGCCTGAAATCTGTTTTGAAAATGTGTAACTAGCAAGAAAATCACGGAGAAAATTTAATAAGGCAAAACTAGCCCTTCCAGACATTAGAAAAACATGCTATAACACATCAATAATCAAAATCACATGACACTGGCTCCAAACTGGAAATAAAGTAAATGGAATGTGTAAAGAGTCCAGAAATTAATTTTCACTGCATATAAGGATGTAGTAAAGTGATAAACACTAAGTAAAGCCACAGTGAGAAAAGAAAACTATTTAATTCATGTTTATAGGAAAATAGAACCCTGATATAGAGAAAAATTAATTTAACCCAGCCCTCATTATATTTCTGTATGTATAGATATAGATATACCACTATAAATTCCAGTGGGACAGTTATTTTTTAACACCATGAAAAAAAATAAAACAAAATATTTATTCCATTTTTAGACAAGAGAGGCTCTTTTCAGCACTGAAGCAAAAGGTAAAATTTAAGAACATTAAAAATGCTCACATACAATAATTTAGAAAATTTTTAACTTTCTAGGAAAGCCATTAAAATGAAATAAAAGGTAAAACAATGACACAGGGGAAAACTCACCATCATGAATATAATAGATAAAGCATGTACCTAGATACTTCATGCCCATTACGATGGTTATCAAAAACAAGAACTGTCAAGGTAGGAAACTGGAACCCTCATTCACTGCTGTTGGGAATGTAAGTGCAGCTGCTCTGGAAAATGCTTCAAAGCTTCTCAAACAGTTAAACACAGAATGACCATTATGACCTACCAACTCGACTCCTGCGTGCCACGCCACAGGAATTAAAGCCTGGACTCAGACCACATACCTGCACACCCTTGTCACGGCAGCCAAGAGGTGGGCACGACCCAAATGTCCATCAACAGGTGAATGACTAAATAAAGTGTAGTATGTACACACATGGAATATTATTCAGTCTTGAAAAGGAACGAGATTCTGATACATGCTGCAACATGGATCAAGCTTAAAAACAATATGTTAAGTAAAATTAGCCAGAGACAAAAGGACAAATCATTCCACTTATGAGACACCTAGAATAAGCAAATTCAGACACATAAAGTAGAACAGAGGTTACCGGGAGCTGGGGCTTAGGAGGAAAGGAGAATGTTATTGTTTAAAGGGTACAGAGTTTCAGTTCAGGGTGATGAAAAAAGTTCTGGAAATGGACAGTAATAAAGTTGCACAACATTGTGAACCTAATTAATGCCAGTGAATTGTACACTCAAAAAAGGTTTTAATGGTAAATTTTATGTTACAGATATTTTACTGCAATTTGTAAAAAAAAGTGAACAACAACAACAAAAAAACCCTTGAACCTAGGATAAATAAATAAACTTCCAAATCTCCAAAGGATAATGGAACACTACGAAAAAAGTCACACAGGAGAAAAGAAACAGTCAAGCAATTAAAAACTGAAGAAACGCAAGGAGGTTAAACAATGAGGTAGCTCTTAATACCTGTTGGCAAATAGACAAATCAGTATTTACAAAGTCGCAGAAAAAAATAAATCTCCCTACCACTTGAGGAAAATTTAACACTGCCTGGTGACAGGACTGCTTCAAACGTTTTTGGAAAACCATCTGATAATATACATCAATCCCATTTAAAAATTCATATCCTTGGATTCGAGAACTTCAAGAAGAAACAAAGTTGTGTGCAAAGATGTCTACATCAGGATTTTGTTTTACAAAAGGGAAATAACTCTCAAATTGAGGAACGGTTAAAGGAAGTATGATGCATTAACTGTGAAACAGTATGAGGCCACTAAAAGGGGGTAAAAAACAAGACCACAGACACATGGAAGCACGTATAAAAAAAAAACCCAGCAAATAAAAGAAAATCTGTCCATGATGCATAATTATACCCACATGAAATTATCTGTAAAGACAAAAACTAGTATTGATTGAGAGCTCCTTATCCCAGGCACCACGCGAGGCACTCTCCATGTTTTACGTAATTTACTCCAGGAACGACCTATGAGATACATATACATCTTGTCCCAATTTTATGAAGGAGGAGCTAAGGCCCTCCTGCCCACACTGCCCACGAGCAGCTGGAGTCTGACCGAGGCCAGTGTGACTCCCAACCTGTGTGCATGGAAATCACGTTTAAGGGAGTCAGTGAGAGATGTCATTTCTTTTGGATAAAGTTTTAAATAAAAAAATTAAAAAGTAAATCACTTCACACGAGTCTCAATGAAGTGCTATGCCAATAGTCTCTTTCTCAATTCCACCACTTCTAAAACTTAGAAATATTATATTTATATAGACAGGCTGCCATTCACCTTCATTTTATAAAAAATGGTTACCTTACAGTTGTGACAACACAAAAAAACCACCTGGAACTCGGCTCCGTTTTTGCCCCAAATGCCTTTTGCATGCATAACTGCACAGCACGGCCAAAAGGGCCTGCTCAATAAATCTCAGGTGTCGGTGGAAACATTTCCTGGAGGCGCAGCTCACTCCCACCACCACTTTGGGACTGGTCCTCACAGTTCCAAGGGTGCCGTGGCGAAGGATAGAGCGTTCGTCTCCTCAAAAACCCTTCTGCTCTTGCACTGCCACAGTGGGGGCTCCTGCCTGCTCCCCAAAGGAAAGGAGAGGTCCTTCTGTACCCCTTGGATAGACATTAAAGACCCTACAAAGTCCAAGCTGGCTGGAGGCAAAGGTGAGCTGTCATGACAGCAGAAAGGAGAGAGGAGAGAGAGGAGAGCAGCCAAGAACTCAGTATTTTAACAGGCAGGAATCCCTTACATGTAGTGACTGTCCTTTACGGATGGGTTTGGGGAACAGTTCGGGCATTCAGACCCACCACCAGGAAACATTTCCTAGGCGGGGTTCTGGGGTTATGGATATTTGGCTTTCTGAAGACATGACTGGCCCCTGCTTCATCTGCTGAAACTCAATGTTCCTGGAGATAAGGACAATATGCCAAGGTACCAAAAAATAAATGTCAGGGAAATACACATCTGTTTAAACATCAAGAGTGACTCAAAGACCACCACCATATATAGTCAATTTACCAATGGTTTTCATAAGACAAGCAGAGGCGGCTGAGAGAAACCAGCGTGCCCTAAGGAACAAAGTGGTTGGTGTATGACCCAGGCTCCAGGAAACAGTTGGTCCCGAAGAACCAGTTCCCCTTCCCCGTTTGTAAACCCTGGCCCTCCCCGATGAGTGACTTATTTTTCTAAGGGAAGCATGTACACTGGAATTCCAGAGCTGCACAGGGCTTTCTGTCACACAGCCCATGGCCACCACCCTGCCGTCCTCTTCACACATAGAAAGGAACAGCCACACTCTGACTGGATGGTTCCAGCAGTCGGACAGGGGGTGGCACAGGAGTGCCAGGTGGGCTGAGACGGCTCCTCCAGCTCATCCTCGTTCTCAGGGCTTAGGCCGAGCTGTTTAACCCTATTCCTTCACGCAGGTCCCCAACTCCGGGGAGAAAGGCCCCACATATGCAGTGAGCCATGCAGGACATGGGCCACTCCACCCCGCAGTCCACCGCAGACAAGAGCACAGCTAAGCACCACGAGCCATCAGAGGGCACTGCAGCCCTTGTACAGTGCTGCCAGGGAACTGAGTCACCACATAGTAACCCCAGTGCACTTCCCCTACTCAAGTCAGTCACACAAGGGGCATTACAAGGCCATGACAACACTTATGTGAAGGAGCTATGCTACTCCAGGTCACCCGTCCTTCACATCACACCCCTGATGTCACACTCATCTACAAAATTATTTCAACTGCCACGTACCAAGTGAAACACTGACAAGTTTATCAAAGTTGCATCCACATCCCTTCCCAACTGTCCCAAATTAAGACAAAAATACCAAATGACCAGCAATCGCTAAAGATCTGATAGTTTAAGACACTTAGAAAAATGAAGTTTTTTTTTCTTTTTCCATTTCAATCCACCACTGACCTGGTGAAACAGAAGGAAAGCATTACAAAAAATGACCTGTTTTGAAGTAGGTCCCTCCTTTCCCACTTACGAGGGAGCCGAGCCCAGTGCAGAGCCAGTCTATGTGCATGTGGAGAGCTGTCCGTCTCTCCTCCAGTGGCACAAACACCCTCCCTGGAACCCCCCTGACGGTGCGGCCTTGCCCCTGGTCAGCATCCCGCCCATCAACAGTGCCGCCATTTTCTCCACTAGGCTCCTAGCAACTAGCTCGGTTTTCTTTCTCCCTAAATCCAATGACTTCTTAAATTAAGGAAAGAAAAAAAATGTGTCATATATAAAGAAGATATTCTCCCCCAATGAAATCCAGTGTTGATAAGACAATGACTATAAAGATCAGTATTTTTTATTTCTGTGCAAAGGGATACTTTAGAAAAGTCATGTGGAGATGAACCTCAGCTATATAGAGTATGCCAGAGATAAAGGAAGATGGGTCAATGGAAAGACAGATGGAGTCTGTCTCACCCGCCCTACATTCTGACATAGACAGAATCCCAACTCCATATGAAAACAGGTTAGAGGCCTGTGATTCAGTCTGGGCTGGCATTCCGGGCTGTCACTCACCTGTGCCATTGGCCAAGCCACTGTGGCTTGGGTTCTTGATGGGCTGGCGGTGCCGGTTGCTAGTACCAGGGCTTCGCTCGCTGGTTGCTGTGGTTGTTCTGGCTGAACCACCTGAATGTCTGTGCGTCCTGAGGGTTCAAAGTATAAAGCAGACAGATATAAGTCACCATGGGAAAAAAAAGAGGGATAACCCACCTAAGTAACCGTATTCCCTCCCTCGTTAGTTATTGGAAGCAAGACCTTCAACGGCCCCCGTAGTCTTTGACTTAGCAGACACTGGCTCCAAAGAGAGAGACCCAGGTAAGTAAGCATCCTTCTTGGTAAAAGCCCAGAAGGCAACTTCGGGTAAACTTTTCCACTTGAAGTAAATAAATCCAGAGTGAATTGCTCCCACATCTGAAATAACTGGCAAAATATCCTGAGACCATCACATTATTTTTATTGGGCTTGAATGTAAGAAATAAACAAGAATCACTGGACTACTTGACAGGGTACAGATGACATATTTCTCCTATTACGCAAAGCCCAGAACTTATCCAAATCCATTTTCTCTATAGTTAGAAATATGCTTCCCTTTGGAACAGAAGTCAAGGGACATTAGACAACTTCAGCTAGTGCTTACGTGGACATATCTTATCTGGAAGAGATGACCCCACAGTCCATCCAAGTAAACGAGAAACAGTGTGGAAAGGGATCAAATCACAAGGGTAAAGGTGGGACCAAACAACAGCGAACCTATCCAACATCTTCAGAGAACACGAGGCAGGACGTGTTCTCGCGTTCCTGTTGTGACGGCTTCATTCCTCAGTGACAGTGCCTAAGCTTCCTCAACTTTCAGTTCAGCAGTTTTGTCAAAGGAGATTATTCTGCCACTTAGTCATTATATAATACTTTACAACAGTGAGATGATTTAAAGAGTATCCAAGGATGGTAACTGTGGGGAGGAGGGTGTGGGTGGAGATAGAAGAGAGTATGGGGGGGATAAGTGGTGATATAGAGAAAATAATTATTTTTAAAAATATGTCAACAGTAACCAGTAAAGAAAAGACCACCTGTCTTCTCCAGGCAGGTACAAAGGTCCAGAGAACAATCTAAACCATGTGACATGGAGCAATGAGAAAACTATTAACAATAAAAGTAGTAACAATGACCACGGAAGTATATACTGTGCGTTGAGCTGCAATATTACATTTCAGCTACCCGTGGTTATGGACAAACCCAGGATTATGTCCAGTTGTGGTATGTTGTGTACTTTACAAATATTATCTCATTTAACATGGCACCCTAGAAGTACCTTATTATTGTAATGCCCATATTGCAGACAAGAAAACAGACACAGAAAAGTCCAGTAGAGAGTAAGCAATCAAGAAAAGACTCAAACCCTGGATGGTGTTGCTCAGTGGGTTGAATGCCAGTCTGTGAACTGAAAGGTCATAGGTTGGATTCCTAGTCAGGTCACATGCCTGGGTTGCCAGCGAGGTCCCTCAGTTGGAGGCATGCAAGAGGCAACTAATCATTGTTTCCCTCACACATCCATGTCTCTCTCTCTCTCTTTCTCTCTTTCTTCCCTTCTCTATCAAATAAATATTTTTTTAAAAAAAGAAAGAGAGAAAAGACTCAAATTCAGGTACTTTAAGGTCAACATACCAAGCTCTCTGGTTGCAGCCTGGGGTGGGAGACCCAGTCTTCAGGTGAGTCCCTCCGCAGTGGTTCTTAAATTAGTTGCTCAGGCAATGGAGAGATGAGGAGCTCTGACAGAAAGTCCTCCATGCTAGGAGGCGCTGTCCCTGCCACGGCACTTCTGCTGGTTGGACTCTAGCCCTGTGTGTTGGGACAAGCCCCCAACACGACAAACTGGAAGGTCCCTAGGGAAGAAATGCCTCCACCAACTACCATCTCTAGCACAAGAAACAAATTCTGCCAACAAGATGGGCAGAAGCAAAAGTGTTCAAAGTGATTATCTTTGGGTGTTGAAAAATCAGATGCCTTTAGCTTTTCCTTTGGTGCTTTTCTAAATTTTTCTAGTGTTCATTAAGCTTAAAAAAATGTTTTTTCTTGGGCCCACACAACTGAGAGAGAGAGAGAGAAGAGGAAGAAGAAAAAGGAAGAGGAGGAGGAGGGGAGAAGGAGAAGAAGCCTAACAAACCCTGGAGTCCTTCTTACCTAAAGACTGTGTGGCAGTTAAAAATGGGTAGAGAGGGCACAGCTGAGCTATGGAAATAAAGATTTAATTTGGACTCTCTTTTTCCATCTTATTTTTCCCTGAGCTAATTTCATAAATCAAAAGCTGTCAACCACACCTCAGTCAAGAAAAATATTTCAAAGTCCCCACTTCATGGGAAGAAATGTCAGTATTGAGCCTTTTACCGCAACTCCTCATCAAGAGCTGAACGGGTGCAGACGAGTTCCAAAGGGAAGCTCAGGCTTTAGCCGCTAGTGAATGTGTCTATGTGTTGAGGGCAGAGAGCTTGAGAGATAAAATTGGTTAATGGAAGGTTCACTTCAGCCAAGAATCCCCTTAAAAGGACAAAAAAGCCTCTCTGATTTGGTACTCAGTCCACGGCGGAGGGCTGTGTCCCTGAAGGAGCAACAGGCCAAGTGGGCAGCATGGAAAATGCAGCATCAGTGCTGTCACTCATGAGGCTCTGACGGGCCCATGATTAGGTCCAGTTGCCAGGCTCTGTGTCCCCCAGCAGAGCAGCTGGGCATGACAACAGGGTGGGTTCCATTACTCTCCTGGCTCCTCCCTCTCTTCCCCGAAAGGGTGTGCGGTCAGAGTTGAGAGAGAAGACTTTCAGAAATGTTTAACCACTAATGACAGCAGCTTACCCTGAATGACAGGCTGGAGCAGAGCCGGGATTAGCCCATAAACCAGGGGCAGCTGGGACTACTTTGCATGAACTGCCGCCTCCCTGCCTGTGGCCCATTGCCACCCCCCACTCACCTCACCACCACACACACACATACATGCACGCATGCACGCACGCCCTCCCCCCAGACTCTTCCTTTGCCCTAAATCTGGAGCTTCCACTTTTCCTCTTGAACTACCTTTAAAATAAGACTCTCCTAAGGAAGAGAAAGTCTCAACATTTGAGAAAAATCTTCTCTTTGGCAGTTTCCGCTCTTGGAGAACTCACTCAACCCTCAAAAGATGGGATTGTGTCATGATTAAAAGCTGGCCCAAACACTGAAACCACACACCATAAGCCAAAATAGTATCAGGACAAAAGTGGGGCGATGGGGTGGGGATGAGCTGGGCTCCACCACAGACAGCCTGGCTTCGGCTCTGCCAATGACTTCAACCTTGGCCTGATCCCTCCACCATGTGGAGGGCGAGGGGTTGGGGGAAGTTATGCAGCCCCAGGGCAGTGAGAAGAAGGTAGAACAGGGAAACTCCACAAATGGTTTCAAGTCATCCCATTACAGACACTCAGCTCTCTTTATAGCATGTCCTTCTAGTGCTGGCATGTTCTTACCTAAGTTCCTCCCTACAAGACTGAGGCCTCGCTAGGCAACACCATCAAGGCCAGAGCCCAAGGTTTTCTCTCCATGCTCCTCAGAGCAGATCTGATGATGCAGGTAAGGCCCCCAGAACCAAGATCCGGACTGTCCCTTGACATGCAAGTTTTAACATTCACAGTGTTGGCCTCGGTCCTCAGCTGACCCTGACAGCCAGAGCTTTGGATACCTTGGCACATTTCACGTGGCCCTTCACAAAGGCCACTGAATTCCATTCTATCACTATTCTCTCAGCACTAAGCCCAGATCTAGGCCTAGCAACCAAACAGAAATGGGCCCTGACCTCAAGGAGCTTACACAGTAGTGGAAATACAGCAGCTTGTAATTTTGCTCAGACACAAATTTGCATCACACCCTGCAATGCTGGTACGGGGGAGCCACTTGGCTAATGAGTGAGCCTGGAATGACAACCTGGCACTGTCACCCCACTGCAGCTTTGTTGACCATTGTCACACATGTAATACTTTACGTGGAGTAATTCAACCAACGAACTTTGTTTGTTTAGTTAAAAAAAGGAAGTCAGTCCTAGCATTGGTAACATTAGTGAAAATGAAGAGCCAAAAAAAGCCAGACACAAAATTTTCTGCTAAGTTAAAAAGGGAAATTCAAACTATGGTGGTGACTCAGAATGTGAGATTCATAAGTCTATCATATTCTTGATGTGAAAATTGATTTTAGAAAATAGTTGGTAGCTTTATCAAAAGGCAAAGCTCCTGCTCTTCCAAAGACACTAAAAAAAATTCATAGTCTGGGGAAAAAATTTGTAAAATACATACACAATAAAGAACTTATATCTAAAATATATTTTTAAAACCCTCAAAACTCAGTAATATGAAAACAACAAACCAATATAAAAAAGTAATCATAAGATTTTTAACAGACACTTCAGAAAAGATCTACGAATGGCAGATAAGCACATGAAAGATGTTCAACATCATTAGTCATTAGGGAAATGTGAATTCAAACCACAGGGACATACAATGACACACCCACCGGAAGGGACAAAGAAGGGGAAAACTGACAGTAACGAGTGCTGACAAGAAGGCAAAGCAACTGGAACTCTCAAATGCTGCCAGAAGCAATGCAGCAGCACGCACCCACTTTGGAAAAACAGCTCAGCAGTTTTTTATAAAGTTAAACATATACATAGCATATAAACTAGCAATCCTACTCCTTGGTATTTACCCATGAGAAATAAAAACATATGTTTACAGAAAACCTATAGGCAAATGTTTATAGTGATTTTACTCACAATTTCCAAAAGTTTAAACAACCCAAAGTCCTTCACGTGGTGAATGAACACACAGACTGTGGTGTACCCAATAGTGGAATATTACTTCCCAAACAAAAGGAACAAACTACTGATACGTGCAACAACATAGATGAATCAAAATGCATTACGCTAAAGGGAAGAAGAATGACACAAAGAGCTGTGTAGTATATAAATTGTTCCATTTCTACCACATGTAGGAAGAGGCAAAACTGCAGGAACAGGAAACAGATCCATGTTTGGCAGTGGCTGGGGTTACAAGGAGGGGTTGGCTACAAAGGGGAGCAAGGAAACTTCTGGGGGAGGTAAGACTTTCTGTGTCTCGATTATGGCAGTGGT